TGGAAGGGATCATCCCTGGAGGCATCCCAGTGACTCACAACCTCCCCACGGTGGCACACCCTTCCCAAGCTCCCTCTCCCAACCAGCCTACAAAACATGGGGACAATCGAGAGCACCCCAACGAGCAATAGCAGAGAATGCTGAAAGGTAATCATTCAGATAAACTTGGGACCAAGAGACAGTGAAAATGGATGAACTAAGAGAAGGAATTTGACAGTCTTTTTAACTGACCCTGGACATATGCATCGTTGGTGTTGCAGTGTTAAAAGCTACAAGAGCTAGAAAACTGAAGATGTCGTCTGCTTCCGGAAGCGCTGAAAGAATAGGACGTGATTTATTAACGACCAACTTCTGTTATTGTGTGTTAAGTTTTCCATCTGTGCATCAAATCACAAAGAATAAATAGAGCTTTTTCCTTTATCAGTTCCTTGGGCACAGCAGGTCCTGAGCACCTTGCTCTAGAATGTTGCATCAAGAGTTCCAAACATCAAAATAAAAAAATATTAAGAGGAAATCCCCATCTTATGACTCTAGTCCCTTTGGTCTACAGGGGCTTGTTACCTCTTTTTGCTAATAGGAAGACAAAATTGCTACAAAAATGGGGAAAAAACTGTTTGCCTGTGTTAGACACCTGCACGCATAGGATTGAAGACAGTACAGGCTCCTGTACAGAAGTGTCTCCCTCACAGCTGAACTGCATACCGAGCAGGCAAGTTGGTTGTAAGTTCAGTTGTACCCTCTGATGATGCAAAAAAGAAAAAAGAAAAAAGTATTAAGTTTCACAAGCTGTTTGTACTCAAATATATTTTCTCAGTTTCAGATCCTCAGCTATTTTATTGAGTGGAAAGTCTTGAACTGCTAAGGGTTCAAGAATAATGTTGCATTTCCTTATGTCTCAGGAAACACTTTTTATGGTAACTTGTCAGATTGTCTATGAACAAACCCACTTTTTTAGACATTGATAAATTCTTTTCTTCACGTGATATTTTATACAAGAACACTTCAGATGTGTTATTAGATGTGACTGATTTTAACAAATCCTATTAGATTTGTATCAACTAGTTACATGTTCTATTCATAGTCTTTTGTGAATCATTGCCTTTTTGTTTAAAAAGATGGCCTATTTTGAGCCTTTGTATAGGTACATTCCTGTTTTTGTGACAAAAGAAAAACTTTAACCTGTCCCAAAAGGAAAAATGGCTATCAGAAGTATGTTTTGTTTTAGTGTGAGTTACCGTTACTGTACTTGTTTATTGTAAAAGGTGGACATTTAGCGTTCAGTGCAGTTTTCAATAAAAAGTAATTAAAATTTAAAAAAAAAAGAAAAAAAAGAAACTGTGCATTATAATTTTGGTACTAACTGATCACTAAAGTGTCACTTCTTCAAATAATATTCATCATTTTATTTAAAAACATTTTTATTAGCCCCAAACAATGCTCTTTTCATAAAATTAGCATTCTAGATGCAAAGATAGCTCCATTAAAGACACACACTTTGCAGAAACTTCTAAATGTTTTCCCACTTGCAAGATGTGAACTGGGAAAAATAGACTGTTATCTTGTACAAAATATGAATTGTTCAGCAATATTGTAAGGCCAAGTCTGAATCCAGTCTCTAAGAACAAAATTTGACCATTGCTGCAATGCTAAAAAGGAGGCATGTAACCTCTAAGGGACGTGATTTGTGAGCCAAGTATTGAGTTGGGAGTCAGTACACCTTTAGGTCAGTCAATTTGGAGAACGTTGTTTGATGTGACCTGATAAGCTCACCCACAAAACTTATACAGGGCATATCAAATTTCCAGCTGTTCACAAAAATCCATGATCCCCTCCCATAACAAGAGTGGTCAATGGAAGACAGTTGTCCAGCCAGGATGACATTCTGGCTACATTCAGAGAGGACCAGGAGGCTAATTCCTACCCATAATAGGTGTGGAAGTTTTGTGGGTCACTTCTGGGGGCTAGCATTCTTTTGGGGGGGGTCCTTAAAGAAATACCTACTGCAATCTCCCTTCTCTACTTTGTTGACTGGACCTAGAGAGCTCCAACACTCCAGGTGGGAGCACAGTGGAAGGTGCCTGGTTCCCTGAATCACTGCATGGAGAAGGGCTGTACTATCCACTAACCCCCCAATCCCGCACTGGAGAGTCCTGTGAACGAAAATAACATTCTGCTGTGTTGGCTACACTCAAATGGGGGTTTCAATTATTATACCAGTCATCTTTACCCTGAGGGATACATCCTACTTATAGAGTGATGACACATTTAGTGTACTTATTTGAATCAAACATTTAAAATGTAAAACTTGATTCTTAAAGAGAAACTATTACCTTTATCACAATTGACTCCATAGAATCCAGGTGGGCAGATGCAGAAACCAGGAGTAACACAAAGTCCACCATTCACACATTGTGGTGTGCAATGGGCTTATGGGGAGAGAGAATTCTGATTAAGGCCAAATGGGGATTTGGGGTGGAATCATTTTTATTTTTTTATTTTTTTTATTTTTTATTTTTTTTTTTTAAAAAATTTGGAATTTTTAAAAAAAAAAAAAACAAACAAACATCACAACCATGAACATTGTTACAGTTAGAGGCCCTCTTGGTTCTCCACATTGATACTGAGCATGCTCACAGGGGTTCCCATTGTTAAATCTTAGTTAAACAACCATTTTTAAAAGAAGGAAAAAAAAAAACTCAGCACACTACCATTTAACTTGTTTTAATGTTTCTTCACAAATGGTGAAAAATACTAAAGTACAGACAAGGAATAATCATAATGTTGTGGCCAACATTATAAATATGGAATTATAAATTTAAAACATTTTCTGGTTTAAAAAATAAATCTGGTAGTCAATGCAGCTCTGCGGGGTCTGTGTCTAGTAGGGCCGATCTCTGCGTTCCTGACGGTGCTCGCCTTTATCCATTTTTCCAGGTCCTCCACGTCCACCTCTTCTTCCTCCCATCTGCTCCATTAAAGGGCCAGGGGGACCCCCTGGACCACCTCGTCTTCCTCCGCCAAAGCCACCTCGGTCCATGCCACGGCCACCACGGAAGCCACCCCTGTCTCCACCACGGCCACCTCTGAACATTCCTCCAGGACCGCCGCGGTCCATGAGGCCACCTCTTCCTCCCCGCATGCCACCAGGGCCACCTCTTCCACGGTCACCACCCGGGGGTGGGAAGGGTGGTGGGAGAAAGCCCTCAGGCTTCGGGGCCTTACACTGGTTGCATTCTGTTCTCCAGGCGAAGTTCTGGTTTCCACAACCCGGATTGGGACATTGCCAGTCCCCAGCTCGGTGCTGGACGTTTCCTCCTCCAGAGGGATTCCCTCGGGAACCCCGCGGCCCTCTTGGGGGAAAACCTCCTCTATCTCCTCCACGGCCTCCCATGCGACCCATGGGTCCCCCAGGACCTCCTGGGCCACCTGGACCTCCACGGAGCGGTGGTGGCATCCCTCTGCCCTCATGAGGTGGCATGCCACCCCGCATGCTGTTCATGGGAGGCTTCTTTCGAGCAAGAGTGACTTTTAGTTTGCTTCCTTGAAAATCTTTTCCATCAAACCACTCCACAGCAGCCTTGGCAGTTGGCGGGTCTTCATAGGACACTGTGGCATCACCTTTGGGCTTTCCTGTTTCCTTGTCCAGGTAGATGTGGATCATGGGTTGTCCAGTTCTCTTATTCATCTTAACAACCCCACACTGCTTAAAGAAATCTGCCAGATCATCAAGAGTCACATTGTCATTTAATCCTTGCACATAAACTGCACTGTTGTCAGAGTCTTCATCAGGATCTACTGGAGGGCCTAGATCAAGATCTGGTCCTTCATCCATGGGTCCACCAGGCTTATTGAAGCCACCTCGCTCTCCAGCGCCCATTCCACCGCGTCCTCCTCCCCGCCCACCTCTGCTCATGCCTCCACGATCAAATCCCCCTCTTCCCCTGCCCCGGTTATCAGGGCCACTCATGCTCCGGTTCTCTCCTGGTCCGGAAAATCCTCCAGACTCCTGCCCATAAACACCCATGCTACTGGGGTGGTCCTGTCGGAATGAACTCTGCTGCCCGTAGCTGCTGCTCTGTTGGCTATATTGACTTGGAGCCTGGCTGTAGGATCCAGTCTGGGGGGGGGGGGGTAACTAGTGGGAGGCTGCTGCCCATAGCTGCTTTGTTGACCATAGCTACTCTGCTGTCCATAGCTGCTCGGTTGCCCATAGGTGTTCTGCTGAGAGTAACTGCTCTGATCATAACTAGTCGGCTGTGTAGAGGAATAGCTGGTAGGAGGATAGGATGGAGGCGCGGTAACTGGCTGCATGGGGTAGCTCCCAGGAACCTGGGGATAACTGTAGTTACTCTGTCCGTATCCTAGGCTGGGCTGGTTATAACCCCCTGTGCTAGACTGAGGTTGACTAGTCTCAGCAGGCTTGTTACCATCCTGTGGTCTTGCAGGTGCAGTGGCTGCTGGCTGTTGCCCATAGCCAGGGTAAGCAGGCTGAGTCCCATATGCAGACTGGGCTGCATAGGAGGCCTGGGTGGTGGTGACGGTAGCGGTGGTGGTGTCATAAGCACCAGTGCCGTACCCCTGGACAGGCTGGCTGTATGCCTGGGGGGCAGTTGGGGTAGTATAACCAGTGGGAGGCTGTCCATAAGAAGTTGCATATGCAGTCTGCCCATAGGTGGCAGTGGTCTGAGCCTGGGTATAGCTGACATCAGTAGGCTGTCCATAAGTTCCATAGCTTTGTTGCCCATATGCCTGGGTGGTCTGTGCATATCCTTGAGTTGGCTGGGCGGTGTAAGCACTGTAGCCCTGCTGGGCTGCAGCTTGGCTGTAGGTACTGTAATCCGTGGACGCCATTTTCTCTCCTTTGGAATCATTTTTAAATGTCAATAATACAACAACTTCAAGCTTTGTAGTTAATTCTAAAATGTGCACCCTTCCGAGATACAAGTTTGCTATATAAAAAAATGTTTTGTGGTTTTAATTAGGCT